GTTGTTGTTGTTGTTGTTGTTGTTGTTGTTGTTGTTGACTCTTTGTTTCTCTGTTTGGGGTTGGTTTGGGTTTTCTTTTCTTTTCGTTTCTTTTCTTTGCTGGCAATAAGGGTTTGGTATAAGCGGATGTGGACTTGTTTGTTTGCGGTTTTGCGGTTTTGCGGTTTTGGAGCTATGGGGCTGGGAGTGGGTGTGGGGAGTGGGTGGGAGTGGGTTGTTTATATATCCATTAAATATATATGTGTATATGTGGTTTTGAGATGGTTGTTGCGCGCGTTTATGGGGCCTGGGGTCTGGGGTCTGGGGTTGAGTCTTAGTGCTATGTGGGTGCGATAATAAAGTGTTTGTGTTTGTGTGGGTGTGGGTGATGACAACCTCCATACCTCCCCATGAACGCAGGTGCGGTGTCTAGGCGAGGAGTGAGTTGTAGGGGGTGTTTGTGTGCGGTTACGGGCGCGGTTAGGGTGGCTGTGGTGGCGGGGGTGCGGGGTGATTTGCGGGGATTAAAGACACCAGGCAGAGTGCGAAACGATCCAGTCCAAACCTAGTCCATCCAGAGATTCAAGCGTGTCTCAAGCACCCAGATCAAATCCTGCTATCTCAAGTACGACCTGACCCAGTTCAATCGGGCTTAGCCAGGCCAAAGTTAGCCTAAGACATAGCCTAAGTAAAGCAGGAGAGTATACCGTGTTAGAGGCTTTTCTGGTACCGGCTACTTGGCCGTGTGGAAAGGCTATATATATAGTAAATAGTACGGTCTACGACCTGGCTATAACCTGTTTATTTCTCTGGCTGGACGAGACTGGATCGTGTCTAGGTAAGAATAGTTTTGGGGTCAAACTAGACTGGTGCTGGGGTTTGTGGTGCGCTGGGGTATGTGGAGGGGAGGGGAGTGGTGGTGTAGGCTGTAAAGCGCTCTTTACCCCTTGTGTTTGTTTTGCTTTTATATTCTCATTGAATGCTTTTTTATGCTGTTGAAGATATATAAGTTTATGTCTTGTTAGATCCGCTTGATCTAGTATTGGTTTACTTTATATGGCTATGTAGAGATTACTGGCTGTAGATGTGTAGCTTGTTGTAGCTGCGCAAGGGTGGGCAAATTGTTCGGGGCTTTTGTTTTTTGACCTATCTAGTGTGTGCTGCATGTACTTAATGTGCAATGTGCTTCTTTGTGCCATGTCAAACTTCATTTCAGCTATCTGATGAGCTAGTTCCGTCCACTATCTGAACCGAATCCAGGCAGTCCTTCTAGTAATTATGGAGACACTCCTTCTGCTTCTTTTTGGCCTTAATGCACTTGAAGCACAGGCCCTCAATACAATCCAATGTATCTTCTAGATACACGTGAAACTCATGGTTTAATTTGTAACGATCTTTGGAGTGCGAAGGACAATCTGATAGTTCGAAGAAATCTTTGGCATAATCGATATCGGTGGAGTTCCGCAGTAGCTCAGCAAAAGAAGTATCGCATCCAAAAAGAGCGATGAATTCGAAGGCCCTACTGCCTTTTGGATCGACACCGCAATCGTTTTCACAGGGGCCAAGGTCCACCTCGTAAGTCTGATAACATTCAAGTGCCCACATTGCAACTTTGGTGTAAATATTATGCCTGGACTCAGCCAAAAGGGCTAAAAACTTTGTCAGTTAAGCTCGTATGTAAGAAAATCATCCAAAAAATAGAACAAGTCAAACTGATCCTTACCGAGAACTCCCGTAGGGAGGCAGTCCATCATTTCGTGTTCGATGCTGGAAAAGAAGCCATCGTAGTGATATACTAGACCTTTGGTGACTTCATAGAAACTCTGGGCGTTGTTGAAAAGGTATGCCACAGGAAGAAGCCTTTCCCAGCCCTCATAATCCATGTATTTTGCATCTTCGATCAATTTATACATCCAAACGGTACTGATTCCCATCATGGCCGCAGAACAGTCGTATTTGTCGACTAACTTCACGACGTGGTCAAGTAAACTCCCGCGTGGTGCGGTGAGCGTATCTTCTAGGCGATGGTGCAGTGCATCGCAAAGCAACTTCATTGCTTCCGGCTCATCGTCAGGCATTTCGACCCTCTTGGGACTGTTGGAGTTCAGGTCCTGGCCCTCGCTGAAGTGAGGTCCAAACATCGCAGCAAAGACCTTGGACGCGAGCTTGAGGACGATCGAGTGGACTTGGACCTCGTGTTTCCCACCGTCGGCGTCAGTGAGAACAAAGATGGCGTCGCCGTCGCTGGCGGACGCCATGGTGCAGGTGTGGGTAGGTACTGAGCAGACAGGAGTTGTCGGACCGTCGAAGCGTGATGAAGCTGGGTGTGGTTGTGGAGAGAGAAAGTTGGAGGAGGGCCGGGGTGCGAGGGCGCTTATAAAGACAGGCGCGGCGCTAGTGAAGAGTGAATGTTTGAAGGTGGACGTCACACCTCTGCCCGTCGGGTTTGGGCGGAGGTTCGGGATGCCGCTCCGGTCGGTGAGTGATTGATTACGTGTTAGTGCTGGAAATTAAGATGGGACTACTGTGCCCGGCGGGCTCTTTATCGTGTTTGCAAGCACTGGAGTGACGCGGAGCTGGCGGAATGGGCTTTGGTGCGGGAAGGTTCCTTTCAGGATGCTTTTTGGATCACTGTTTGGTCGCTGGGTCGCACTCGGCTGGGCCTCACCTCCTGGCCAGATGAGAGCTGGTAGCAGATGGAGTTAAGGTGTCACTGTTCAGATGCAAAGAGTTTTCCATGAACTTATGAATGTGCCCAAATGTATCCCTTCAGCATTGTATAACCGAAGCTCTCGGTTTAGTGCAAGTTGCAGAGCGCTGTAGATTCGTGTTTAAAGCACATACGATAACCTGTAAGCATGGCGGTTTTAGAATCCGGGACCGACTAATCAATACTGCAGGCGTGAACGTCAGTTGGTGATGTGAGTTTTTTACTCTGCACCTAGTCGTAAAGACGTATTCAATTTTCGAGAGTGCCTAATGTAGTATGCCTCTACCACCCGTACTATATCCAAGTACGATAGACTTTCCTCAGACTGTTCACTTCCGCTGCCCGGTCCATTTTAGTGATCGAAAGATGATGTCCCTAGCCATGCTTCACCCGACAGATTTCAGGTTTCTTCCCGCCATTCTTCATGCAGTCTAGGCAGAGGCCTTCCATAGTCTCCTGGATCTTTCGTACCGCCGAATCAACATCACTTAACATATCTGTGAAGTCTGTGGAAGCTCTGCATTCGCTGCACATTCCATGAGACTTAGAAGCAGACCTTAAGGTCGTTCTTCCGCTCTTTGTCTCGTTTCGCCAGAATTTGAACATAGTAGCCAAGCTTTGATCCGAACGTGGCCGGAAGCAACATAGATCCATGACTTGTGCTGCGAAGTTGAGAAAACACTCATTGTCATCCTGGCAACCTCTTGGAGTATCAATTGATTCCAAAGCCTCTCCGATTTCTTCCAAGGCCGTTTCGGAAACATCGGTTTTGGTCTGAGACCTTTTATCCGACAGTATCACTTTTCATAACGTTAGCCATATTTTTCCTGCTTTGCAGAAAAAAAAACTTACCGAAAGTCCGCCATGGAATGCGATCAGCCAAATCTCTGTCTCCCAATTTGTCGAAGCTCCCGGTCCAATATAGGATTAGGTCTAATGTGAGCCTTTTGAAGACGTCAGGATTATCGAATAGGTATGAAATACCTAGAAGGTCCTCGTATCCGTCGAACTTTTTCTTCATTGCATCCTTCATTAGCCTTTCCATCCACATCTGGCTGTGGAGAAATATGGCGGGGCTGCATTGATACTTGTCGCAAAGAAGTGCTATGTCTTTGAGCTCTGCCATGTCTGGATAATGTTGAGTATGGTCGTATTGAAAGTGAAACACAGAGCATATGACCATCATAGCAGCCGGGTCATCATCCGGAAATTCGACCTCTTTCGGGTTTGTCTCATTGAGATTCTGACCTTCGCGGAAGTTGGGTCCAAACATGGCGCGGAACATATCCGAGGCGGTCCTGAGGACGGCCGAAGAAACACCCAGCTTGGTGCCGTTATTGAGGATCATGAAGACATCCTCATACGGAGTGAGGCTATGCGTAGCCATAGTGTCGAGCCGTTTGAGCGAAGTCGCGCGCGTTCAAGCCACCGCAAAGCGGTAGCTTGGCGACGTGGTTGCTGGAATCAGACCAAGACCGTTGGGTTTGATAAATGTGAGAGTCTAGAGAAAGGTGTCAAGTGGAAGTTGTGCGGCTGTTGCTGGAAATATATTTGGGACAGTGGTCAATGCGTCATAGCGCTAGTACTAATTTGGCAACCGTGTGAATGAAAGGGATTAACGTCCGTCACCGTTAACCGAGATTCACCGTGAAGCGAGACGGTGATACTTATACCGAATAGAAGAAGAGGCCCAGCTAAGATGTGTAGAGTCTATACATACTTGAAGACCTTTTTATCTATGCCTAGAACTCGGGCTAGGAGCTGGGCAAGAAGTGCTCTGTAGGGACTGCTTGTATCGTCCCCTGTCTCGCTACACGGTGGATCTCGGTTCGCGATGACGGACGTTACCGGTTGACTTGCCAGCGCTCAGGAATATTTAGTATCTCACGAGACTTAGACAACTTACTATAATTTCTAGGCATTTCCTCTACATTCTAGATAGGTCGCCCACCCTTTGTTCTCCCATTTTCATACCTAACCCACCGAATGCTCATGTGAGCACAAACATTTCAACTTTATGCTTAAGCAGTGTCTTGTAGCTACGCATAACTAGTCAATAGTAGAAGGGGCGATTTGTATACAAGTATACGAATTGAACATTGCAATGGTATAATAGTACTAATGAGAATATGAGGGCGTAGATATACAAATGCACATGAGTGTTTCACGAGGATAAGAAAAACAAAAGACCACGAGGGCATGAAGGTAATCATAAAGCTACGGGGCACGATAAGATCCAAGGGTAAAGAGCAAGATGGCAAGGTGTATCCATTCTACCTCGTACTTTTAGGGTGGCTCATTACTATCCATCGATCCATGATCACTTGTGCTCGACACGACAAGTCTCCGGCCTTTCCCAACCATTCTTCATGCAGTCCAAGCACACACCTTGCAATTTCCGTCGAGTTCTTGTAGCATGCCTACCGAGGATATTAAAGAGACAATCGCATTCTGAGGTTTTGCAATTTCCGCATAACCCATCGAGCATACCACGAACCGTTTTCGGGTTCTCACAGTCTTCTAAAGCAGCGTTGAGTGTGACATTACGCGAGAGGAGTGGCAGACCGCGCTCGAAAATTTCCGACTCTGCACACAAACGGCAGCGACCCCGTTTAAGCACTGATTTGGTGAATTTAATCGCAGATTCGGTCACGTTTTAAAAAAAGGAGTTGCAGGATGCATGCCGATATTCAGCCAACAGCACTACCACAGTGTGTTAGACATCTTTCGAGGGAAATTGATAGGCGTTATGCACTACTTACCAAAGAATTTGGAAGGAACAACATCGAAAGGATCTTCCAACTTGCTGAACGAACCCTCGTGGTAGATAATCAAGTCTTGAGTGATTCCGTAGAAAGCTTGAGCATGGTTGAACAGGTAAGCGATTCCAAACAGAGTCTGGTAGCCGACATATTTGACAGCTTGTGCTTTCTTTCTAGTGTGTATGAGCCATAATGTGGCGGTGGCAAACATTGCCGACGAACAATCGTACTTGTCGACCAGAATGGCGATCTCCTTCAAGACTTCAAGGTTGGGGGTCTCTGTAACGTCAAACTTGTGGTGAAGGACGCCGCATAAGACCTTCATTCCCTCAGGATCATCGTCCGGAAACTTGATTTTCTTCGGCTTACGTTCCGTCAAGTTTTGGCCTTCGGCGAAGTGGGGACCGAACATGGCACTGAAGACTGGAGAAGCGCTCCTAAGGACAGCTGAAGAAACGTGTAGGCGAGTATTGGCGAGAACCATAATGACGTCTCCATGTGGGCAAATGTCAACCTCTAGAGAAGCCGGCTGCTCCAGTGAAGTGTCTTCGGAATGGTGGTTATCGGCGGCATCGTCCTCTTGCAAGCGCTTAATCATGTCGTTTTTCGTTCCGGTTTGAGAGAGGTTTCGATGACCGAGGAGGGCTTTGAGTTCAGGGACTTTCATACGGGCGTAGTCGTTCATGGTGTGACGTTGTCGTGTATCTGCGCAGGATGAAGTACAGCTAGGTCAAGTGTGTTGAAATGTTAGGAGAAGTAGAAGGCTGGTGGACGCTGGTAAATAGGCGAATATCTATGGGCTTCGGATTGAATGTTAAAATAAAAAGTTTGGCTCTTTAACATTAAAGTGCCTGCCAAACATGTTTGCCTATCTTTTCCAATTAGTTTGCTCACTCTAGGCGATACTATATCCGTCTAGATTTAAAATGCTTCTTTACCCTTTGAACTTTGCACCTTTGCACCCTCATGGGCCTGTCTGTATCTTCGTACCTCATCGAATACTCTCGTACCCCTTGGATTTTACTAGAGGTATACGGTGGTAGTAGTAATATAGCTTGTTATAGCTACCGAGAGAGTACTTTGTAAACTTTCCCTGTGATCCTGCTTTTCCTCCAGGTAACGTGACGGAAAGCGCCGATCGGACAAGGTGGGCGCAACGCACGCGAATGATAGGGTCATGATGGATCGGCCCGTCGCAGCGGAGCAGATGGGAACCAAGACAAAGGCAGCAAGGAAGGCGCATGCGGTGGCCGACGGTTCACGTTGGGCAGGCGGGGAAGGGAGTGGCTCGCTTCCAGAATCGGGCAGGAACACGGGCCCCGGCGGCGAGGATCTCCTTGCATGCCAGCTGGTTGGCCAGAGCTCCGCAGCTCATCGTCCGCAGCTTCCCATCACCTACTTACCCGTCGCCCTTCGCTCTCTTTCGCCGCCCCCAACCACCAAACACTCGCACGCACGCTCTCTCCACACACAAACACACACACACACACACACACACCCGCCATGTCCACGCGCAAGAGGAAGCAAGAGGCCGAGGAGGAGGAGGAGCTCGTTGCCCTTCCCTCCGACGAAAGCGACAGCCTCGACGAAGAAGAGTAAGTTGACGTCATACTATTATCTTCACAACCCACACGTCGCGCCACCGTCTCTGTCCCAGTCACTGTCGCACATGCGCTGCGACTCTGGCGGTTTTGCCGTTGGGTGCCGCGCAATGCGCGTCTGTTTGAGCATTGGAGAGTGATGCGCAAGGCTGCGGTCGCATTATTCCCGTCGCAAACTAAGCCCTGCAGCTCCCACCCCGCGACGGCGCGACTCCGCGCCTGCGCGTCAACAACGCGTCCCTCAACGCGAATTTCATGATTTCTTGTCCCCGTCACGTCCAATACCTTCTTAGCTCAAAAGAATCAATATATTTGCGCGATTGCTGCAGGTCGCACGCTTTTCCGTTGGCCAGATATAGCTAACGCTACCAACCCAGGTACGATGATTCGGAAGGCTCCTTCGACGACGAAGACGCATCCGAAGACAGCGAAGAAGAGCTCGCGGAAGGTATGCAAGTTTTCTATTGCCAGTTTCCAACCTTTCGAGTGCCATTGACCTCACTTTTTGCAAACTACTGCTAACTTAAGACCCCAAGCCCCTCCCAAATCTAAGAAGCGCAAAACTACCAAGGCTGCCAATGAAGAAGATGAGGAAGAGGAGGAAGAGCCCGAAGCAGTTGCAACCGACGAAGAAGAACCCGAGGGCGAGCCCGAAGGCGACGACGACGAAGAGCCCTCCGCGGCCAAGCCCAAATCGGGTGGACCAACGAAGGCTGCCAAATCGCGTAAAGCTCGTGACGTTCCCGAGGAAGACGACCTTGCCGGTGTCGAGGGTGAAGATGATGAAGAGTAACCGCTGCCGTACGCGTGGTATACCCGCTGTTTGTTTGATCTGCTTTATTTCTGATGATCTTGGGGTTTAATGTCATTTATGTCTTCATTATGTCCGCGCTGAACAATATAATGATTTTCCTATTTAGCGTCCTACTTTGGTGAGTCCGAAGTTATTCTGCAGGGTTCCCATCAACTCACTGCAGCATATAGAAACCTACTATAACCTGCATTGACAAGGTATGGATGCTGATCACCAAACGGCTACTGATGCCCCTCAAGGATTAAGTGTTCCTGCTAGTGATTGGTACGTTGCAAGCGCTAGGCAAACACTTCAGTAAACTCACTCCCGCCTGCTTTGTAGCGATGTCTAAGAGTACCACGACCATGTTTTTATTCTTGGTTATTGTATGCTGACATTTTCGTTCATATAAAGGTCCGCGAAAACTCCACCAGCGACATGATGGCCATTGCCTGTCCGTATGGCATACTGGTCCTCTCAATGTCAAAGTAGTGCTTGTAATCCCTGCCCATACCAGTTCCAAAGCTCGTATCGAGGAGCTCTCCATCATTGCTGATCTTTCCAAGCACTGCCTTAATCGCCTTCACGGCGACTTCCTCGTACTCTTTTCCGATGTAATGCTTTCTCACAGCTTTCAGTATACCATAAGCGAATCCTGCCGTGGCTGAAGACTCGACGTAACTACCCGCAGATTCCGGTTCATCGAGTAGCGTCCGCCAAAGACCATCCTCCGTCTGAAGCTCCTTCAAAGCACGGCACTGCGCCTGCAGCACATCCACCAGGAAGAGGCGCAACGGGTCCTTCTCTTCCAAGTCTAACAGCTCGATAAAGTCCGGGATCACAATCGTAACCCAGCTGTTCCCGCGCGCCCATCTGGCCCTTGCAAAATTGTGCCCCAAGCCTCCGGGTGCGCTCTTGTCGAACTGCCATCCGTGGAAGAAGAGGCCGGTACTCGTGTCGAACAAGAATTGCATGTGGACCATAAACTGTCGCTTCGCTTCCTCGATGTACGCAGGTCGCCCAAGGACCTTTCCAATCTTGGCCAATGGCATTACCGTCATCATCAAAGTATCATCCCACAGCTGATCTTTGTTTTCCTCGAGGTATGTGATGTGCTGAAATCCACCGAACGGTGTGCGTGGCAGGTCATGCATTGCCCATTCAGCCCATGTCTCAAGCCAAGGCAACCAGGCCGCATTGCGCGTGTTCGGATCCTCGTACATGTACGCTAGCGTAAGGAACACACTCATCGTATTGATGTTCTTGGTTGTGCCATCGGCGAGGCGCTTCTCGAACCAGGACCGTGCAATATCGAGGCTCGACGCATCGCCAGTCAACGTATGGTATTGGTACAATCCGTACAGGCCGATGCCATGCGTCCACTCCCAATCATTCCAGCCTTTTGTGTCAATGACGCGACCATCGGGAAGCCTGAGGAGGAAATGCCCGCTGGTGTCTTTGATGTTCACGAGGTTGTCTGTGAGGCGCTTGATTGCACTGTGGACGGTGGAAGCACCAACGCCGTGGGTTTGGAGAGGCATCTTGGTAAGGCGGATAGAGTGAGGTGAGTGGCCGACTCAGCAAATGCAGGAAAAGATCGACCGTAAATATCCAGCTCACCAAACGACGAGAGCCATCCCTCTTGTACCTACAGCTGACCTGCGCGGTTCCATCATAGACCCACTTGAGCTCCTCTTCAACCCTGGCCCCGCAGACAAACAACAGGACTCCGCGGATGCTTTCGACGATAAAAAAAGAACCACCAATACGAAATCTGTTCAACTCAGATGAGCAGCTACCCATAAAGGCAAGCGCTTTACTCCAACAAGGGTCTTGGCCAAATTCATTTCGCGATACCTTCCACTGGTACTTTCTGCGTCGATCATGCCCTGGAAATGAGACACGCAAAACGAAAAGCGAGGACCGAAGCCACCAAACCCCGCCGGCACTTTTTGCCCCGAAGACCGAAGCCGTACCTGCTGCCAAGAGGCGCCAAGCCGGGGTCCATGGTCCCAGGCTCAGAGTGTAACATCCCCGCATAGCAGCGCCGCACTCTCCCCACGTCACCTTACTCGCGGATGCGGCACATAAACCGGGAAAAACGAATGTGGAGAAACAAATCAGTGGCGTCTGCGTGCCCCGGGATTAGGAAGTGTGGGGCCAATCCGGGGCCGGCAAAAGCTGGGGAATAGTTCCGGGGTGCGGATACGGTGCAGCGGTGAGTGCTGAGATGGTTGGCTGTTACGGCTCGAGTGCTACACTGCCGGTTGTTCCATTGGCGGACCTGTCCGCTTACCAGTCTCGTGCTCTGCTCGTGCCCGTGGCGACGGATAAATGGCATGCAGCAGAGCGAGGCCTGGGCACTTGAAGGTAAGCTTTCGGCCCTGTCGGTCAATGTATGGCCCGGGGGAGGGTTGATCTGCTGGGACAATTTATATCGCCTGGACCGCGCTGTGGGTAAGACGTTGAGCGAGAGTTTGGTACTGGACGAGATTGTTGGTCTTTTACTCCGTCTGTTGTTGGGATCTGACCTCTTCTCTCTCTATTTCTCCTCCCTCATCAGGCCGCGCAGACTGCTGCACATTTGCGGGTAAAGACAACATCACCCCATCCAGCAACCATGGGCGACTCTCACTCCACCAAAGACGAAAGGGGTCTCGGTGTCGCACGCATCGAGGACGTCCAGAAGCAACATGGCGAGAAGGAAACGAGCGACGTCGCTGAGGTCGAGCGCGTCCTTTCCGGCACCGATGCGGATCTGAAGAAAGAACACCTCAACTACGATCGCATTGACAAGGAACTGGCGCAATACGCAAATGCGGAGCGCATCGAAATCAGTCCCGAAGAGAACCGCCGTCTCAAGCTCGCCATCGACAAGCGTGTTCTACCAATCATGGTGTTTACGTACTTTTTGCAAGCGTTGGACAAAGGCACCATGAGCTTCACGAGTATAATGCACCTTAGGGAGGACCTGAATTTGCTGGATGGACAAAAGGTCAGTTTTGTTTTGCCCCCTTTGCATTTCGGATGTACTTCGACCTGGGAGGCATTTAGTGATTACCGCTTGAACTGACAACGATATTCCAGTACTCCTGGCTCACGACATGTATCTACATCGCCGTGCTCGTCGTCGAATACCCAACCAACTGGATCATCCAACGCGTCCCCATAGCCAAGTACTTAAGTGCCAACATTATACTCTGGGGTGCCGTGCTTGCACTTCACGCTGCCTGTACAAACTTTGCCAGCTTGCTTGCCGTCCGCACGTTACTGGGTATCTTCGAATGTGTTTGCCAGCCTGCGTTCCTCGTCATGAGCAGCATGTGGTACAAGCGTGAAGAGCAGGCACAGATTGTAACGTACTGGTACATGGTAAACTTCAAAACCACCAGCTCAAACAGAAGTTTCACATCTAACATTCACTAGATGAACGGCGGCCAACAAATCGTCGGTGGACTGCTAGCCTACTGCTTCTCGCTGATCAAGACCGGTCCCATAAAGTCCTGGCAAGCCATCTTCATCACATACGGTGCCTTCAGCGCCCTATGGGGTCTATTCGTTCTATACTGGCTGCCCGACAGCCCCATGCGCGCCAAGTGCTACAGCGAGACCGACAAGCGGCTGATGGTCGAGCGGGTCCGCTCCAACCAAACCGGCCTGCAGAACAAAGTGTTCCGTCCGGCGCAGGTGCGCGAGGCCTTCCTCGACCCGCAGCTGTACTGCTACGGCCTCATCGCCATCTGCACGACGCTGCCGACCAGCGGTCTCGGCGCCTTCGCCAACATCATCATCACTGGCTTCAACTTCTCGGTGCTGGAGACGCAGTTGCTGTCGATGGTTCTCGGCGCGTTCATCGTTATCGTTCTACTGAGTTCGACGTGGCTCGTCAAGAAATACCACCAGAACTGCCTCACGATGGGGCTTTTCGTCGTTCCGTAAGTCTTTCCTCCCCATCACACCACCTGTATCCGGATAACACCCAAACCACCTCCTTCATTCCCTCCGCAATTCATCCCCCTCCCCTCGAATCAATGCGAAAATCCACTAACACCACCACGCAGTTCCTTCGTCGGCACCATCGTCCTCATGTCCGTCGAAAACGAAGGCAAAGCCACCCAGGCCGGCCTGCTCATCAGCTACTACATCGTGCTCTCGTTCTGGGCTGCGCAGACGCTGGCTATGAGCATGATCAGCCGCAACATCGCCGGGCAGACGAAGAAGACGGTCATCGTGGCCGCAAACTTTGTGTGCTGGTCCGCCGGCAACGCCATTGGTGCGTTTACACTCCCTTCCTCATCAATCCTTACCCTCAAACCAGCTCTCTTCCCAAAAAAAAAAAAAAAAACCTATTCTTCCCAGAAAAGCTTTCTCATTCACGTCTCTCCTCTCCAAAAACGAGCATAACTAACCCACTCCCACAGGCCCCCAAGTCTTCCTCACCTGGGACGCCCCCCGCTACTTCATCGCCTTCGCCACCCACATGGGCTGCTACGTGCTGCTGGTCATCGTCATCATCTTCCTGCGCTGGCACCTGCGCCGCCAGAACGCGAAGAAGGACGCCCTCGTCGCGGCGGGCGTGCACGAGGCCAACGACGACAGCCTCGTCCATGCTTTTGACGACTTGACTGACCGCGAGAACCCCAACTTTAGGTATATTTACTAGCGGGGTTGCGCGTGTTTTTTTTTGGGGGCCTTTGATTGTCGTTATACCACCTTTGTTTGGCTGGGGCTTTGTTTTTTGGGGTTTTGGGCATGAGCACGAATATATATACGCTCTTTTGCCGGATTTTGGGATGTGTTGTTTGCGTGATGTGATATGCTGTACGAGTATATGCATGTGTGACTTGCAGACTCAAAGACGCATTGCATCGAAGATCTAATTCCCAAACCTCCCATCTAATAATCTCTAACCCTCAATGCCTCTCAGCCCTCAACAGCCTTCTTCTTCCCATCATCCGCCTCCACCTTCGGCGGCGCCGGAATCTCCACACCCTCAATCTTCCACACCATCCCAATATACCCATCACTAACAACACTAACATCGACCTTCCTCTCCTCCTCACTCTCCGGCAACCTCAAATTGACCTTCGTGCCAGGCCTGCTGCCATTCGCCTTCCCATCGCCACCATTACCAGCAGCTTTATTCCTCTTCTGGAAGTCGGGCCAACTGACCCGCTTCAGAGCAAGCACCTCATCAGAGCCCGGCGCCGTCACGACCACAAAGAAGCCCTCGGTCTGCGGCTTCGGGAAGCGCGGCGCATACATGCGGTAATCTGCGCTCTGGGCGCTGTTGGCGCGCGCGATGCTCAGGCCCAAGCCCAGCGCGTTGACACCCGCCAGCGTGACCTTGAGGTGCGGCAGCGCCGAGAGCGGCTTCATGAACCGGCCCAGCGCGGCGTTAGGAACGTTCAGCGTGCGCGCCGCGTTCTCGAGCGTCGTGCGCGGCGCTTGCACCGCCTCGATGAGCGTTCTGGGCGCAGCGGCCGCGTCGCGGAGACGGCGTTTCTCGGCCTCGGGGTCGACGGTGGGCAGGATGGCAAGGGGTCCGTCGTCTGGCCAGCGCGCGGACTTGACGCACTGCAGCAGTGTCATCATCATGGCGCAGGAGGAGGCGTGGCCGAGTTCGGTCAAGACGTCGATGCTGGCTTGGATGATACGGATGGCTTGGTCGAGGACGCTGGTTTGGTCACCAACGTAATCGGAGATGGGAAGGTCGATGCGAGAGAAGTGCGCTTGCAAGAGAAGGAATGCTTTCACGTGCGGGTCCCACATGGGCAGGTTCATGAACTCGGCTTTCAGTGGTAGTGCGGCTGAAAGTTCCGCGTTAATCAGGTCTTCGTTGTGCCGCACTGGCAGCTCGTCGTACTCAGTTGCTTGGCTCATCCAGGAGAGCACGTCCGAGAAGCTGGCGTTAGGCTTGGCGCTCCGGATTAGATGGCGAATCGTCTTGTGCGACAGATAGTAGTAACTCATGATCTTGCCGAGCGGTGTCGGGTCGACATCGCCATTGTTGTGCACGACAATACAGCCTGATTCAGCCAGCTCAGACAGCGATTTGTCAACCATCTCAACCATGTAGTCATTGGCAAGCTGCTGAGCCGCCATGGTGTTGTGCTCCTCTGCCGAAATTTCTAGCCCATAGTACGAAGGGTTCTTGTGGAGACGACGGAAGAAGAACGTCCAAGTCAGATAGTCAAGCGCATCTTGCTTAGTCGCAATGGTCTCCGCAGACACTTCAGCGCCCAAGTGGTTGTCGAGAACGTTGTGCAAAGAAGACTCCACGGGGAAACCAGTGTGCAGGAAGTGCTTGTAGAACGCCTTCTTCGAGTCTTGCGTGAAGATTCTTGCGATACCGGAATCGTCGAACTGAGGACGACCAGCACGACCAAGCATTTGAAGCACATCGGTGAGATCCATGTCCTTGTAGCCTTCAAGCTTGGCATCGAAGTATTGCGTACCCTTGACAACTACGAGATGGGCGGGCAAGTTGACACCCCAGGCAAGTGTAGATGTAGCCACCAGGATCTGGATCTTGTTGTTGGCGAAAAGCTCCTCTGCCAGTTGGCGATCGGACTCCACCAAACCGGCATGATGCAGGCCAATACCAAAGCTAAGCGCTTCTCTCAATGCTTCATCCTTGACCCGAGCCAGGTTCAGCGCAAGATCCTCTTCTTCCATACGGACGAAGCGACGAGGGTTGTCCTCCATACCGCAGTAGTTGATAAGATCCCTAGCCGTGAGACGAGTTTGACGACGAGAGGCCACGAACACGATGACGGGCTTAGAGGGAGAATGGGTCTTGATGGCCAGGAAAGTCGGCCTGTTCATGCTTTGCATAAGCGGGCAGAATCCCCTCTGCTCCGGGAAGCCGTCAATGAAGATCTCCAGTGGCACGGGGCGCACGGAGTGGCGGAAGTTGAAAAGGCCTTCCTTGACGCCCAACCAGTTGCCCAGGTCCGTGGCGTTGGCGCAAGCGGTCGACATTCCGACGAGACGCACCGCACCCTTCTTCTGTGATGCGATGTAGTTCATACGGGAGACAATGATTTCCAAAATTGGCCCTCTGTCACCACCCAGAAGGTGAATTTCGTCGATGATGACCAAGCTGACCTTCCGGACGTAGTCACGGGTCTGCCAGCTACGACTGATACCGTCCCATTTCTCGGGTGTCGTAATAATGATGTCCGCATCTCTAATCGTGCGAGTATCTGGAGTGTTGTCACCTGTCAACTCAACGAGTTTGAGACCCATGGGTGCGGTGAGACGTCGTCCCCAGTCCTGAACTCTTTCACGAACAAGGGCCTTCATAGGAGCGATGTAGACGACCTTCGATCCTGGGTTCTCGCGGAAAGCCCACCACATCGCCAGCTCCGCGGCTACTGTCTTGCCACTACCAGTGGGAGACCCCAAAAGGACATTTGCTGAAGTGTGGTACATGCAATGGAAGAGCTGTGTTTGCATAGGGTTGAAGAACTGGAAGCGTTTACTGTAAAGCTCTTCCAGCAGTGGGTTCTTCAATACAGAAAGAGGAAGAGGTTGCAGATTCAACAGATCAGTGTATACGCTCTCCGTATCCGGTCGAATAAGGTGTTGGAAGGAGACCGGAGTAACCGTCTCGGCACCCAGCCATCGATCAGACACTGCACGAACATAGATCTGAGACGGCAAAGGATCCGAAAGAGGGATGGTGAAGTTGAGCTCATGTTCGTCATACAGCTTCTTCCGGGAAAGAATAAAGTATTCGTGGTGGTAGATCTCTGAAGTCTCCGAGTTCTCAACCCAAATCCAATATGATTCCGCATTTCCGTGGTGGCGGTCATTCCATCGGAAGTCGGGCGTGATGTATAGGCGAATGCGCAGGACATCGCGATTCAGAGGAGCAATTTCTGCCTCGATGCTCAGAGTTGGGAAATTGTCTAGAAGCTTGCTGATGGTAGTGCCCATCTTATGGTTGTGCACAAGCTGACCAATCTCAGCAGGCTCCATATCCCTCAAGGACTCAATTGCAGCAGTAGCACCTTTATCGTCCAGGTTTCTGAGGATCGGCTGTGGAAGGTCGAACTGACGGAAAGGGTGCTCGAAAGGCCAGATTTGGCGCTCGATAGACTTGCAAAGTGATAGCAAAACCAAGCACTGGTGACCCCAACGCCTGTTCAGAGCAATCATAAACAGAGCCCGGCAGATACGCGTGGCGTTTTGTGCCACATACGCCGTATCTGAAACAAGGGTGTAGTCTTCAAGACGAGCCCTTGACACATGGCCTTGGAGAAGAAGGTTGGTCTTCGCATGAGGCGTACCGATGCCATCCTTTCCAATAGAGCAAGGAGCGGCTTCATCTCTAAGTTTTATGAGCTCCTTCTCCTCTGTCTCGCGGGACTGTATGTTATCAAACTCTCCACTCATACTGATCATCTTGAGGACATCTGCCTCGGTGGCACGGGGGCGCATCATAGTGTTGAAAATCTCAACACTGCTCTGGAGTACGTAGAATTGACTGGCAATACGGCCGACATCCTTAGCACGTAGCTCTTCGGTGGCTTCGTTGAAGACAATCATCTGGCTTTGCTGCAACACTTTGGCAGCATCGATGATCAACTTCCTGCGTCGTTGGACCAGTGCCGGATCATCACGGATTTCGGCCCAATCAATACCGTACGACAGCGGGTTACGCTGCATGCGCACGAAGAGATAGGAGTAACCTAGCCAGGTCACTGCTTCCGGAACCGATGTGACAGTGCCGAGGGAAATCTCGGCGTTGAGATTGTCCACCATGCGCTTAGAGAAGTTGGATTCGATGGGCTGTTGCTGGGTCACAGCGGAGAGGTAGTGTTGAAGCTTATCATGCGTGGTGCAGATAAAGCCAATACCAGTGTCCTGGAATTGAGGACGACCCGCACGACCAAAAATCTGCAACACGTCAAGAATGCCAACATCCACGAATTTGCCCTCCTGGGCACTGTACAGTTGAGTTCCCTTGATGAGAACTGCAGCAGCGGGCAAGTTGACACCCCAAGCCAAGGTTGCAGTACAGCACAGGACGTTAAGGACGCCTTCACCGAAGAGGCGCTCAATGAGGTTCCGGTCTGACCTGGGCATTCCTGCATGATGCGTGCCCATGGCCTTGGGCAGCAGTTCGCGAAGTTCCCGTCCTTTCGAGGTTTTCATGTCGCGAACGGCTGCATCGTAGTTGGGATGTCCCGTCGGATCAAAAAGGTCCATGCATTGATGTTCCATGGCCTTTTCGTACAACATTTTTGCTGTCTTGAAGGTGTCTTTCCTGGAATGCACGAACACCATGACTTGATGGCCAAGCCTTAGCATGTCCGTGACCTTTTCGAACGCAACTTGATCCATGTTTTCTCGTGATTTTGCAGTACCAGCTTTCCCCTTCACACCAATGAAATGCTGTTCAAGCGGAACCGGTCTGAAGGAGCCGTCAAAGTAAAACAATCCAGCCATGCGATTAACCTTCAGGAAATCCGAGACGTCGATGTAATTTGGCAGAGTGGCAGACAGGCCAACGATACGAATCAATGATTGCGTGCTCTCAACCTGCCGCTCCGTACGGGCAACCAGGGATTCCAGCACAGCACCACGCTCGTCGTGCAGCATGTGGACTTCATCGATGATCAGTAGACGGACCTTTTGAACCAGTTCGGTATCTCCAGTGCTCTTCCGGGTAACCACGTCCCACTTCTCCGGCGTGGTGACAATGATTTGCGTCTGCACAATTTCCGATTTGGTAAGATGCATGTCTCCAGTCAGTTCGCGGACCTGGACACCAAGCCAAGAGAGTCTCTTGCCCAGTTTGTCAGTGATTTCGGCCGCCAGGGCCTTCATTGGAGCAACGTAGACAATTTTGAAATCTTCTGCTAGGAGAGTGAAGTCCGTTGCATCAGGTTCCTCCCATGGAGAAGGAACAATGTTCTTCGCGATTGTGTTCAAAATGGTGAGCATGGCTGCATCGGTTTTACCTGCACCGGTAGGTGCACAGATGAGCATGTTCTCGCTGGTCTTGTACGCAACAGGGTATACCAGACTCTGCATACGATTGAGAGTTTTGTAACCTTTGAAAGTCCTTTTGCAAAGGCCGTCCATATCTTTGATTTCTACCAGCTTCCGACCAGCACCGAGGGTTCCAACTTTCTGTGCCGGAATAGAGTATTCTTCGTAGTTATGGTGCTCATCTCTCTTGCTGCCGTGCGGCAGCGCAAACTTGCGGCCATATCCAGAAAGAGTGTTTCCAGCCTCACCGGATTTGTAGACATGTGGGTACTGCTCTCCACTTCTGTTGACACTAGGAGCGAGGGAAGCATTCTTGTGCTCAAGATCTGCTTTCCGTAAAGCTTCGTCGCGTTCTGCTCTGGTTTGCAACCGGCCGAAGACGCCGTTGTCTTGTTGTTCGGCTTTAGCGGCTTTATTGAGCTCCGCACGGTGGCCGATGAGCTCCGCTACTAGGTCTAGCTCTCCGTAGCCAACAATATCGGCCAGCGTCATCTGAAGCTCTTCGTTGTTGCTATCAGAGGCCAGGATGGCCATAATGTTGTCCTGCAGAGTCTGGGCATCTAATCCTGAGCTTCGTTCAGCCACTCCCGCACATTGTTGGTTGAGCCAACCCTGGCTGTACGGGGCGACAACAGAGGAGCCGCCAACCGGGAAAGCGTCAGTAGCGTCAAGCTGATCACTGCTGTAGTATTCCTCGCTTGCTTCGTCGCTAATAAGGTCCCAGATATCGTCGCCACTTGCAGTTCCGGAAAAGTCATCTTCATCGACATCTATGTCGTCTCCGTAAGTGGGCGTGCCGCCGTCCTTCTGAGGCAACTTAAGCTCGGCAATGGCCGCGCGCATTTCTGCCAGCTGGGCGAGCCACTGAGACTCGGCATTTTCGATAGACGGAGACATGGTGGCGACAGATTAGATGGCTTTGATGGAAGGGAGAAGATGTGTTGACAGAGGTTTCCCGCGACAAAGCGTTGCGCAGAAATCTCGTGGTTGTTGTTTGCAGAAGGCAGGCAGCACAATCGATGATGATGACTCCCGGTAACGTCCGTCACCGTGAAGCGAGATTCACCGCCTAACGAGATAATAGCGCTTGTGCGGAGGAGAAAAAGAAATCCATTTAAGATGATTAAAATATGTATACACTCTAAGATCTTTTTTTTTTATCTACATCTAGGACCTAGGCTTATAATTAGATAAGAAGTATTCTATAGGAACTGCTTGTAGACGGTGAGTCTCGCTTTAGGCGGGCCCGCTCCGTGAACTCCAGTCGGGTTCTTGGCATCCCGCCCCCTATCGATTCACCGCCCGACGATCATCCCGCTGGCCTCAGGACGCTTGACGCTTGACGCCAAGCATCAACGCATCCAACGCTCTTCAACTTCTGGATCCTTCGTCTTCTACCTAGCACCTAGCCGACCCCACTTAAACTCTCTCACAAACTCCTGTCAGCAGTCCCCACCTGCACCCCTCGGACTCGAGATCCACTTCCCAAGCTTCCCACAAGTAACGCGCCACCAAGTCGGCGCCTCTTGTCTGCGCCAACCACCACCACCATGAAGATCCTCTACATCGGTGTACGTCCCTCGCTTTATCTCTGCATGTCCGGAACCCCCGCTGACGTCGCTTCTCCAGATCCTCAAGAATGAGCAGAAGCCCGCCGTCGAGCTCTGCGCCGAGCGCGAGCTGAGCACCTACTCCCGCTTCACGCGCACCAGCGTCGGCGAGTTCATGTCGCTCTTCAGCAAAACGGTTGCGGAGAGGACGAAGCCAGGAGAGCGCCAGGACGTCGAGGAGCAATGTAAGGACAACATCTCGTAGGGAGCTTGAGGACACTGTGTTCTGACCATGGCGCAGCCTACACCTTCCACGCCTACGGCCGCACCGAGGGCATCGCTGGCATCATCATCACCGACCACGAGTACCCCGCATTGGTGGCTCACCAGCTGCTATCCAAGGTCGTCGACGAGTTCCTCAACAAGTACCCCCGTAATGTCTTTACGGTATCCGATCAGGAATGCCCCATGCCCGAGCTCAAGGAATACATCGTCAAGTACCAGGACCCGCAGCAGGCGGACAGCATCATGAAGATCCAAAAGGAACTGGATGAGACGAAGATTGTGCTCCACAAGACTATCGAGAGCGTGTTGGAGCGTGGTGAGAAGATCGACACCCTGGTTGCTAAGAGTGACGGCCTGAGCGCACAGAGCAAGATGTTCTACACGCAGGTATGTTTTATTGCTACATTTTTCATTGAAATGAACATTGCTAACGCCCTTCACTTCAACAGGCGAAGAAGCAGAACTCCTGTTGCGTAGTTATGTAAATTTCTGCTTGGTGTTCAAGGAGCTTTCGTTTGCGGGCAGATTGGCATAATGATTTCTTGACGACATTTCAAAACACTCTCATACCCGGGCAATTTTACATCCAAGCCCAGCAAAATTTCTCTTCTCCATTGATAACTGAATAAGTGGAATCGCCAAATCAATCGAATGACGCTACCCAACGACTTTTATTAGGTTTTTGAAGTACCGAATTATTAGGGATGTGTTTGCCATTTGCCTTTTAACTGCGGTCTTCGGGCATTGAACCTAATCACTCTTCATTAGCAGGCCGCTCAAGCACTTCATGGCGGACGGTTTTCTTTGAGTTAGCGTCGATCATTTCATTGATCCTCTTACTGGGTAGCCATTCCTCGGCGGGGATGAACCACCAGGAAAGGAGAGCAAAGATCGTCACGCCAGCCATGATAATCGGTGCATCTGCAAGAATACTGTCAACTTCCCGTCCATCGAGCAAATCAGAGCTGTGCACTTACAGTTGAGCGTAGCGCCACTAACAGGGAACTCATAGGGCGAGAAGAGCACAGCAACAACCCAGCCGTTCCAGAAAACGCCAATGAACTGGAACGGCTTGCTCCAGCGGCCCAAGCTCCACTTGGGCTTAGGGAACTTCTTCGGCGTAAGGGTAAGTCTGCCCAAGCAGATCAAGCCGTAAGCCGCAGCGGAAGGGACGCCCGCTGCTGAGACAAGCGAAGTGAACGCCACTCCGGACGGTAGGATGGTGCATGTGACCAAAGCGGCGACGCCCCAGACGACAAGGACGGCGTTCTTGGGCTGGCCGTTTTCTACTCGTGCGACCCATCCTGAGAAAGGCAAGACACCGTCACGAGCTACGGCGAAAACGAGACGGGAAGCGGCAAGGACAGCGATGGCGGTGTTCTGGGGTACTGTTAGTTATACTCCTTGAGCTGTATGGAGGAACTATGGGCCGACTTACAAACCACAGCGCAACAACGCAAATTACATTCATAAAAATGTGTCCACCCTGGCCAAGCAGAACCGCATAAAGTGGCACAAATGGCTGCGCGCCACCGTACCCGAACAATGTATCGGCGTCTGGAAGGCAGAACAGAAACATGATGACGACGACAAAGCCGCCAATGCCGCTAACAACCGTACTCCAGAAAATGCCTCTGGCAGCCGTAATCGCAGCGTTCTTTGTCTCTTCAGCCACGTGCCCGCTAGCGTCGAACCCGATCAAGATTCCGGCAGTAGCCAAGTATGACAAGCACCAGTTCCAGCCAGGCGGGGCACCGGTGCCGTTATACGTGGTCATGAAAGCGTCGTGCGCCGTACGGAATCCAAGGGTCTTGGCCGTACCAATAGGAAGCCAGATCATGTTCAGCAAGAAATCGAGCCACACAAGGCCACCCGACGCGTAGAAGACCCAGCGGAAGTACTTTGGCGGGACGAGGTTAATGCCCGCGGCGACGGCCAGCAAAAGCTCGGTGCATATCCATTGCACAGCACGGAACTTGACGCTCGACGCGTCGGACGGGAAGTCCACATTGAAGACGACGATCTCGGAGAGCATGTAGTTGACGGCGGCTTGGGTGTTGGAGGCGCAGAAGGTCGTCCACGCTGTCGTCGACCACCATGCTACTATGAAGCCGAAGAGTCGGCCGAAGCGCGGTCCGCCTGCTTCTGCGGCCCATAGGTAGATGCTGCCGGCCAAAGGGAGAGAGGAGCAGATTTCGGCGATAACAGCAGCGGTTATAAATGTGAATACACAGGTTATTATGTAGGAAGTCCTGTAAAGTGGTCAGCATTGTTGCGTGGGCCTCCACGACTAGTCCAAGTGTGGTGTTCTATTTGGAATGAGGCGGAACATAGGAAACACACCAGTAAGCCAAATTACCACCGGCAGCAATTCCTGTAGTGAACGTGACGCGCACACCACCAACGAAGTACAGCGCAGCAAACGTTGTCGAGAAGTTATGAAATAGGTTGTACGATCGATGCAACACCTACAGCACCCGCACCGTCAGCCCTCAGCATCCCTTGCTTCCTGCACAGAGTTTCGTGGTCCGTAGCCTTACCGGTTTGTAGCCAAGATTTTCCTATTTGGGAATGTTGGCCCCAGCGGGGGGCCCGGCAGTTAGCAAAAACGCTTGTTCGCGCCTCCCAAGACCCCAACAGCGTGCCTCCAATCAGCACGTGGGGAGGACGAAGATAATCGACGTACCAGGACCTCAATATCGCGCGACTCGACGCTCGTCAAATGTCTTGCGGACCCGGTTTCAGCGTCCGCGTCTGTATGTGCCGTCGTCTCCGCGGGCGACGAGTCCTCGGTCGCCATCGCCGCCGCTGCCGGCGCGTCTTCTCTTGCTTCAGCCATTTCGTGCTTCTCAGTCACGTCTGTCTCCTGTCCTCGCTCTTTTTTCGCAAATCGCCACGCAAAGGTGATATAGATAGTGCTCTAGCGCGGCCGCCGCGTAGCCGGGAGCTTGTTTTGATTAAAGCGAGTCCCGCCGTCACGTGCGCGGCTGGATTCAACGCAAAAAAGAGAGCCTCTGACGTAACCGTGCGTATCCGATCTCGGGGTTAGCTACGCCGCAGCGGTCGGGCCATCAGCTGAGCACGAGCGAGCTTATTTGCACTTCGGGCTCGGGCGCACGCGGGAGTTGGACTGTTGGAGTTAGGCCTGGGGTGATGTTTTGGAGTGAGGGATTTCGAAAGACCGAGATTTGGTTCGCTCGGGCTGGGCAGGCGCGATGATGAGATGTGTGCCGGGTAGGCCGCGTGTGCCGGAATTGCGCATTTTGCTTCGTGCTTGAATATGTGATTTCCATGTATCAGCCCTGGGCTGAAAATTTGCTGTTCTTGTTGACTCCAGGCAAGTGATAAAAGAATGTTATTCCGGATTTTGCTACATACAGAGGCAATGCTAATTTTTAGGCATTTCGGAACTACTTCACTCTCTGGTTACCCGGAGCATATCACACCTATAATCTCGTGGTCAGTGGATGTAAGGATATTACGGTACAGGCCTGTATCTTCCGAGGGCAACATATGGTGCTCATATGGCAGTGAGCTGCTCCGAGTATTAAACATAACCATAGAAATACGAGTTTTTGCCATAACTTCTTCATTCGCTTTCACTTTCACATTTCAGAGCCATATCTTCAAAGCGATTCATATCGGGTAATTCAGTTCTTACAGTAACGGACTATACCAATCTGTTTCCTATTGCGTACTGCCTTGCTCTGCCACTTTGTTTCATAATGCACTCTAGTCACTCCGAGTTTAAAACCTCAGAAAATCCACTCCCAGCACTTTTGTCGCTCCGAGCTCCGGGTTTGGAAAACAGACAACGCTCCCAGCACCTTATAATCTTGTACAGATAGCCCCCATGGACTACTAATCGTCTAACTGTAAGCCATTACATCTCACCCTGTGGGATGGCGTAATGAGAATCCGCCGTTGGCATCTTCCATTCGAAGAAGTTCCCTTCCATGATGTTGTCATCGTAAACAATCTATATTCGCCGTCTTCAGTGTAGCTTGTATGACCAATGCAATATCCCTTGGAGGCGGCCTTGTAGAGGAGCCATTGCTGCGTAAGTAGCGCAGATAACTTGAGTGAGGCATAGGGAGGTAGGTCATCGCATTCTTTGGGGATCCCATGGTGAAGGATAAGAGAAATCTCCAATCCAGGAATCGCGATCTTAAGTTCATCCAGCGCTTTCCAGTAAGGGCGGTCTCGGTGGTATTCGCGAGCATGTCTTGGGGCGCTCTCGTCTCCGTGCTCAATGGTGCAAGTATCATCGCAGACAAGGTAGTTGTCTCTCCAGTTGTAAGCGCCGGCCGTGAAGAAGTCCCAAGGAAGAATTAGTTCCAGACGCTTGAGTCCCTTGATGAGCCGGAGTCCCTCGCATGCGGATTCGAAGACCTTGAACAATTTTGCGCCGTTCCACCAACTGTTCTTCCAATCAGTAACGGTCATACCTCTATCCGAGACAGTTGTAAGAAGGCGGTTCCACTGGTTCGCAGAAGGAACTGTCCGTAGGTGACGCCATAATATTTCTGGTGGCCAGTTGTCCTCGAATGGGACATGGATCGTTAAGTGCCTGATCCACTGGGCGTTTTTGGGCTTGATGGTCGTGAGAAAAGCGTCTAGAATGGACCATGCATTGACGTTGGTGAAGCGGAAGTTGTTATTGCCGTAGAATATGGGTGTGGCTTCGGCGTTGATCTGCTTGTTCAGTCGCAGAACCTTGAGGTTTCGCCTTTCACAGGATGCTCCTCTACGCGCCGGTAGATGCGAGAAGGTGCATTCCAGAGCTCGATGGATTCCTGTTCCAGTAGCGACTCGTAAATCATTAGTCGGAGCTCTGTGGGTAGGTCCATGAAGCCTATGGTCTGTGGTTCGCTGAACTCGGCAAACTTCCGCTCGCCGTAGAGAATGCGATAAGCCCTGTACGGGAGAAGGTCTTCCCTCGTATAATAGTCGGAGAACGTTCCATCCGGGCGCTTAGAAGGCTTCTTGGGAGACTTTTTGGATGACTTCGGGTGAGTCATGACAAGTTATGAGAGCTTTAGCGACGAGTCTTTGAGCGCTCTGTAGTATTTGCGGTACTTGTTGATATAAGGGTGTAGCAAAGTGAGGTGTAAGGTCGAAAGCTTTGTGGTGGAGAGGAAGAGAAGATGAGCAGAAGCGAAGGAGGTTTATGTGTAGGACAGCGGTAGACTTCACATTGGCGAGCTCTGTTGGGCAGAAGCCAAATCGGTTCCAAGTTTGTGTTATGTCCAGCAGCAACGACCACATGCCTAAAGTCAAATGTAGACAGCGTCACTCACCCTTCACAAAATAAAGCTGACATTGGATCGGCATGGCGCTTGTTATAGGGTCCCGGGTAATTGACCACCTCTTTTAACTATTTCGCCTACCCTAGCCAAAATTGTTTTCCTACCCTTCTAACTTCGTACACTGACTGACACTCTTCGTGGGTACTATCGTGCCATTATAAATCTCTCTTACCTACGCGAGACGCTCTCTCCCTCCTGTATTCATACCTACGCGTCTTTTTATTCTTTATACCCACCTAGTGACTACCGGAGCGTATGCTATAGTAACTACTACATCTTGTAGCTCCCGAAGTTGTACTCGAGGTGTAGCATACTTAGTTTATATAGGCGGTTAAGGCTTAAGAGATGAGCAAAACAGTCAAAAGAATGAATACGATAAATCGGGTCGCTACACTAATGAGCGGCGGTATCTAGTGACCTTTTACCTATAGACCTCTGAATGGATAGCTAAGTACACAAGTACTGTTTGTCTCTTCGTATGCGCCTTGGCGTTTCAACTAACACGTGGACAAAGTACCCAGGACCCAGGTATCACAGCAGCAGACTTCCAAAGCTGGCCTTAAAGCCATGCCATACCTGAGAGCCCGACAAACGCAGTAGTTTGGTAGAAGCTAGACACAGAAGCGTCCACGTAGACCGCAGTTTGCTCCATGGGGCTTCTGCTGGAAAGACTTACATGACACATCACTGAACCAAGGTCCAGCAGCACAGTTCCCATCAGGCAGTCTGCCAACCTCGTAGACCAGCACATCAACACGCGCAAACAATGAGCACAATCCATTCCCCAAACCCGCATATTCGCAAACTATGAACCCGATAACTCTATCCACCCAGCCCAGCAACCAACCAACCCCAATAGCAAAGAAACCCCCGCACCAAAAGGAAAGAAAAAGATGCCTGCACACTCCACACCACGCGCGGCCTAAAAGAACGCGCACCACCCGATATACATCTGGGCGAGCCTCCGCGGATCCGTCGCCTGCGACACCAAAAAGTCGACGTAGCCCTCGACCGACAACGGCAGGACTTCCTTTTCCAGTAAACCCCCGACCTTCTTCCTGACGGAGTCAAGTACTTCCTCCGGCGTGGACGGGACGCCGCGTCGCTTTTTCTTGCCGATAAAGTCTGCCGTGGGGTCGTATAAGAACGTCTCCAGAATCGTCATCAGCGTGTCGATGTTCTGGCGCAGTTGTGAGAGCGTCAATTCCGCCGCGGTGCGGAAAGCGCCTTCCGTGCCTTGCGGTCCCATTGCATCCACCATATTGTGAGTCAGGCGGAAAGGTACTAGCTCAGGCTTTTCAAAAGTGAGACCCTTGTCGAAAAGGCAGTTGAAGTCGACGTGGAAGACGCCGCCATCGTCTTCAACTAGGAGCACGTTTTCGCCGTGGCGGTCGCCGAGACCGAGGACGTGTCCCACGATCGACATGACGGCGCAGGAGCGCGTGTATTTCAAGCGCGCCGTGAACCATGCTTCGGGCTCTGGGAAGGTCTCGATGAACCATTCGTACAGCACCGGCCGGAAGTGTTTGAGAATCTTGTCAGTGAAAATGTTGACGCTTCCCGGGGCATCCGAACAGGCTTCATTAAGCAGATTGCGTGTCTGGTGGTAGTCGATTTTGACGTCTTTCTCGCGATAAAGCTTCAAGATGATGTCGCGCATCGGCTTTAGGCCCTCAACCCACTCGATGGCGCCGCACTCTTCGTTGAGCGGTGTCACTGCGTACGTCTTGATGTTCAGTCGTCGTTTGCTGGATTCAACGTCCCGAAGCAAGGAGCGGTTGATCATCGAGTTGAATTCCATCAGCCGCTGGTCTTTCCGGAGGTCGTCCTTAGGTTTGCACAGGAGACCGTAGTTACGCCCATCCGACCCTCTTACAGTCAGCTTCCGTGGCCGTTGTAGTGAGCTCAATACAAGAACCACATCCGAGAATGAGTTTATGGTGATGATGTTGCCAGAGAAAGCTTTGTGATTTTTCAACGTCCCGGGATCCTGCAATGTAGGCATGCTCGCGTGTAATGTCGTTTCGACCGGCACGACCAGAGGGCAAGGGGCAAGCTTGTGGCTAAAGCGAAGATCGTTTCCTAGACTGACACGGCTTACCCTTGTCTCCACAGGGAGATCACACGCGTTTAGCAGGGCCTCCGAGATCCGCTGGCCTTGGTTTATCAGGGTATTCAGATTGTATGAAGACTCAATCTTATTCTTTTTCCCGTAATCCTAAGAGTATGTAAGTAACAGAGGTTGAAGAGTAGAATTAAGCACATACCTTCAACATTTTAAGCACTTCCAAGCCTTTGGTCTGACGCTCAACCGCTTTGGCCTTGACGACGGCTAAAAGGGACCAGAGCGATTGCTGTGGATATGCGGCGGCTACTCTTACGATAATAGCCTTAAGTATTTCATAAACCACCGAGTTTGGGTGACAGATACGCGTAAGCATCTGGGGTAAAGCGGTGTAAAGGATGTACGTTGGTATCCTTTCAACGGCGTATTTTTGCATCTGGAAATTTGTGGTTTTGAGTACCCTTTGCTTCAGGAATAGGATATGGCCCCTGTCATAGTCAGCACAGTCGCAAAAAGTTCTACGCGATGAAGGCACTTACTGAGCCAGCAGCCGTTGTTCTTCCCTTTCCGAAACCTTTGGCGGTGGGTTCTCAGTTGCATCTATCCCAAGGTCCAGCCATAGCGTAAGGAGTTTCGGTATCGTCTCATAAATATGTCTGGTTCCAAAGTGCGCAGCTCGCAAGTAGCATTCGATGACGAGCTTTGCAGTCTCTCCAGCACAGGCGGCAGTGCTCCATTTCTCTCTCGGAGTACTCTTTTCATACTCCAGATTCTTGTTGTAGTGTTTCCCTAAAAGATAATGTCCCTTCTCCTGTCTCGGGAATTTTTTGATGGCATCTTGGTACTGATAGATGATCTCGTTCGACGACGTTTGGCCAGCCTCATCAAGCCATTTTGCCTTCAGAAGACAAGCTCTTGCAGTAAGCTTATTGTGAAGCCGCTGTTGTTCTTCGTTAATGTTCATGCTTTCCATTTCAGATGCTGCCGGTGTATCATGTGAGCGGAATAAATTCATGTTTATAGCACCATCGAGATTCTGAATCGCTTTACGGTGATGTCCGGACTTCCAGAGGAGGCGAGAATGTTCTATCTTCGCCTCATCTTCTCCGAGGCGAGTGGCATGAAGTACTGCATCAAAAGCTGTGCTAGTTTTGTTCGACTTGCGTGCTAATCTAGCACTTGTAAGCCATGCTGAAGCGAGATCAAGACCTGTGAAGCTCTTTTGGGATAGTTGCATGGCTGCACGCCTCAAACCAAGAAGGTACTGCTTGTCCGCGGTGTATGCACCAAGGACGTCTAATCGCCTTGACAATGTCTGAAGGACGCCTTCTCGGTTGGTTTGTGCAGCGTCATTTGTACCGGTGATAACTTCGAGTTCATAAAGAATGTGCAGTTTCAACATGTGGTCATGGCATGCTTGGAGTGATGCGGTTGTCGAGGTTGAGAGACCACGTGCAATGCCCTCGCGCATTCCGCTTATAATACGCGAAAAGCTCTCCATATCGTCGTCGTGCAGCTTGAGAAAAGCTTTGCCAAGGCCGATGTTGAAGTCTTGCAAATCTTCCGGTACCCCAGTGAGGAGTCGTTGCAGAGTTTGCCATTTTCCAGTCATCCATGAAGCTTCAGAAGCAAGCGAAAGAATTTTTGGCACAGAAGGACCTGGTGTTTTGCAAAAGCTTTCGACGCGGGCGAGAAGAGAATCTAAAGCACGTTAGTTATACTTGGTTCATTAAGACATGCTGAGATCTACTCACCATACTGTCCAGATTCCCTCAAGCAGTTGACAAGCTCGTACTGAACTTCCACGTCATCCGGCTTGTCTGCTAGCGACAACTCGTACCAGCTTTGAGCCGCATTCCATCTGCCAGCCTTGCGGTGTTCCAAAACTTGCTGTTTCGGATCCAAGATCTGTAGATGTGCCGAGATGCCTTCGATGCTGTCTGGCTCATCAATCTGGGTGTATATGTACTGGAGATGCTGGTATAGGCTTTCCCGGTCAGGGTCGTTCTTAGGAATCTGCACTGTCTCTTTACGTTGCCGTATATACTGCTCCCAGTGAAAAAGTGCTCGGGCATAAGAGCCACACTCTACAGCACGCTTGGATATGATCTCAGCAGGTATCGAATGTAATACACTCTCTACACTGCTGATTTGGGATACGCAGACCAGCACATCTTTCTCTGGCGGCTCTCTGCCTTGTTGTGCTGCTTGAGTCCGTATGTCAGTGAGCTCTCGGCGTTTTCCTTGCAGCCATCTGGACATGTAGTCCAGGACCTGGAAGACGTTCTGCGTTTTGTTAGTGTTTTGCTCCTGTAGGGTCTTGGCGGTCTTACCTCGCTACACCGTTTAACGTTGTCCACTTCTGGGCCAATTCCATGAATTTGACATTCAAGCACGCCGAGCAGCTCTCTGCTCACTTCTTTCACTTCTTTTTCTGTTCCCGCGAGGATGATGTTGACAACAGCAAAAGGAAGCATGGCAACAGAAATTGCCAGGTCGTTCCCCTTAACAACCCTTGCGATTACGGGAAATACCAATTGAACATTTTCACCTTTGCCGCGCAACAAAAGGTCACATACAAAGGTCCGCAGCCAATGCCCATGGCTTTTTTCCGGCGAAAATATGGGATACTTTTGATCCGAAGCAAAGTAGCCATCATTGACTCTCCACTTGTATTTTGACGTAAGAAGCGGCGTGAGTGTGCTTCTGACTGATTCAGGGATTTCTGCCCAGCGTTCATATAGTGTGGTTGTTTGGCTGGAGCGTGGATTGAGCAAATGCGCGTCTTGTCTGAAGCCAGAACACTTTAAGAGGTCTTGAATGGCGCACGCAAGGAAGTTCTGCTTGTGGGCATTGGAGGCAGACTGAAATACCTTCACAAGTACAGTTTCAAGAATGAATACTGTGAAGTCGAGAACTTCCGGGAGCTTGTCCATGTTTGAAAGCATAAGGACATCTCGTTTTGGTCTGACAGCCTCTGCCCTGGACGGATCCAAGCAACCGATAAGGCCAAGAGCCTTAGCAGAAAGAATGTTGATTTCTGGATGTGTTTCTGTAAAGCGAGCGGATGCATCCATGACAGATCGACAAAGCTCAGCTATGAGTGGACTGGGATGCTGGCTAGCGACACTCTCGTGGACGAATGATTGATTCTCCTCAAGGTATATGATCAGGTCTTTTAAAGCTTGGGTAACAACCGGAGCATTTTCGTTCGCGCAACGTTGGCTGAATGCGGCGTATTGACCGACAGGTGACGTCTGTTTGAAGCGCTTGATTTGTGAATCGATCTTGTTCATCATGGGTATCGAGGCCAATGAGGGTAGCATGTTGATGCGGTTTCGGAGCACCGCATTGTGTTTCTTAACGAGGCCGTCTATCAAATCATGCGCCCCGGTCTGGACATCAGGATCGAATGAGTCCCAGTTTTGTGCGATGACGGAGAAAGTCTGGTCTATAAGAGGTTCGATGTCCTCTTCAGTAACGGCCGATAGAAGTGAGGACCAAACTGAGAAGGCTTTGTTGCGTAGTTGTGGGACATCAAACGCCGACTGCAAGCAGGCACGGATCTGATGAAGTTAGCGTACCATACCATACCCGTGGTTTGTGATATAGGACATTCTCACCTGTGGCAAGCCAAAACTGACATGTTCCTTTGCAAGCTCAATCAGCTCTTGAATAGCCCCGAGGCTTATGCGTCTTTCGGACATGGGCTGAGTCTCTTTTGTGTTATCGATAATTCCCGAGAAGACAGCCATCACCCCCAAGATATGGTTATCGAAGAATTGGCCCATCATCTTGTTGTCCTTGGTGGTTGACCGAGACTGTCCCGGCTTTCTTTCAACTAATACAGTGAGAGTCTGGAAATCTTGATGGATCTGTCGAACGTTAGTAATTAAACTTCTCTAGAACTAGTACACTTACTTTTTGCTTCTTAGGGCCAGGCTCCGCTTCTGCGGCAGCCCTAAGAATTTCAGCTGCAGTTGTCGCAGGCACCGTCCGAACCAAACTCTGAAATTCGTGTGCTTCGAACTCTGGAGCCGCCGCTACAAGGTAGACCATTGCGATATCCGCATCCGGAAGTTTCAGCAACAACATAGCCAAAGTCGCTGCAAGGTTGTTTGGATCCATGCAAAGTGTCTCGACAGAACAGTTTGGCCCTCGAGCAAGTGCGATCTTCTTTAACACATCCTTTTTCTTCATCAAGACAAGGTATGGCACAGTCTCAACCTGTGTCCACGAGAGGAACTGACTGACGCTTAATCCCAGGAAATCTGCAAGTTGCTGTGTTTTCTGCGGCCGAGTGAAGAGTTCTTCTAAAACTCGAATACCAATGCTGCGCCAAAATGGCTTAAAAAGATCCCTTGGCGTGCATTTGAGGATTTTGGTCAAAGAACAGAGCTGCATCAAGTCAGCCATCGGTCGCTTTTGATCTAACAGGATGTTTACTTACTTCGTTAAAAGCAACTCCACATATCATGGGCTCGGGGTGACCTAGGTATTCGACTAGTTCAAGCAAAACCATGTTCAGCTCCTCATCAACACATGTGCTGATTTGATGTGAGCTGATAAACCGAAAGACAGATACAATGGTTCGACATACCGAGCTATTTGGCCAAACGCCAAGATGAGAGTTTCTTGCCGGCTTAGCTCACGTTCCCGAGATAAAATCTTGAGGTATCCTAGAACATAGCTCCGATTCTTGCCAGTCGTAGGCACGTCTTTGCGCAAAAACATCGGAAGCGCATATCTGAAAATAGTCAGCTCATGCCAACCGGAGAAACAACTGGAGAACCTTACCCAGCAGCAATTCGTAGTTCCCTGAAGGAGCTTCTCAAAGATTTCAGACACCACATAGCAAGTGGAGACTGTTTATTTTCGAGATCGAGGGTGTCGGAATCCCGAAGGTGGCATACTAGGTTGCGAATCGCCATTGCAGCGAGGACCCGGCATTCCTTTGAGCGTTGTTCCTCAAGAACCTCAACCATCTTCGAAATCGTCTCCACAGCAGCTTTCCAGGTCTCTCCAAACCGTTCTTCGTCCCAATAACTGGAATTCCTATGCTCGTCGGGCTCTCCATCACAGATCGAGCAACACATCGCAGAAAGCTCACCATTGCTCAAGACAGAGGCAGTCAAAGTTCCGACTGCAGCACAGGGAAGGCGGGCAAAGTTTCGCATTGCGTCAGACTTTGCCTCATGTGAAAGGTTGGCGAAGTTGTTCCTGATATCTTTGTCAGCACTAAATCATCGCTCGGACGCATGGGTTAGACTTACGCTACTTCTCTTTGAATTTCTTCTTTTTCAGGTAGAACGTTATTTCGAAAGTACCCTGGGGCCTTAGCTGCAAGTCTGTTGTAATACGGTCCAGTCAATGATGGCCCCATGCTTTGGTCGATACGTTGACGTTTACGCGGCCGCTCATTGTCAGGGAACTCATTTTCGGGGCCATCGATAAGTAGTTCGGAGAAACCTTCAGCCAGTTGAGTGTCCTTAAAGGATTGTCCAACCTTAGCGGATTGAACAGGAGTCGTAACTTGAAAGTCGGTCGCTTCATCACATCCAGTTTTGTCCTCAGCACAGACAAGTATTGCAAGCTGTAAAGAGGTCAGTATCAAGCCTAAACTTATACGAAAGAAGAGCTTACCTGCAGATCTTTACCAAAGAGCTCCAGCTGTGTTTTATCTAGTGCTATACTCTGTAGCGCAGGTATAAGCTCGTCTTCGTAAAGACGGTTAAATAAAGGCATACAGTTGGCACTGGCATGGTCTCCGGTTGCAGCCTGCCGATTCAGCCATGAAACACGAAGTAGAACGTTGCTAAGTTCGTGCTGGGCAGGGAAAGATGGCAGCACTCGACAGAACAAATCGAGCAGGGTGACGATGCTGTCGACGGTCAAGCTGAGAGCGCGCGTAGTGAAGCTTTGGGACTCGGTGTCTATAGCAATCTCTACCAAGTGCTTCAGAACATACAGAAACGGAAGGCTCAAGTCTTGGCACTGGCTCCGTGATGATGTGCTGAAAAGCATGAGTCGCAAGGCATATTGCAATAGACGACTATATCGATCTGCAGCCCAATCGGACATCGAAATTTGCATGACGCTGGCCATGCAGGTAGTGCCTACAACAGCATGTTGGCTGCAGATTGCGCCCAAAAGAGCCAAGGCAATTTCGGTACTTTGATCGGGTTTAGTGATCTCTGCCTGGCAGTTGTCTGGGAGGACAACCAGCTGCTGACTATCGGGTAGTAGCTGCCTGATACTGCTTAAAGGCGGCAACAAGAGACTCTTTAGTGCAGAAGCCGACTGAAATGGATTCTTTGTGAGATAGTCTAGGTCAGTGAGGATAGCTACGATACTAGTTAGCGTCCATTACTGAAAGAACAGTTCCTGAAACCTACAATCTATGCATGCCTGGTATATTTCAATCAGAGCATTAGCGTTCTGCCAAGTTCGTCGTCCGGTAGAAAGCAACCGGATAAACACTGCAAACAACTCGGTGATGTCGGTATAGATGGGATGCAGCAGAGGGCGAGCTAAAAGGGAAAACAGCTTCGGGAGAAGCCAAGCCACAAGAGGAGGCTTAGAGTCGCCCTCGGCCTCTTCTGTATTTTGGTAGAAGAGGAGGCGAGGGTTGCGCTCAACGGTGATTCGGATGACGGAAAGACTATCTCTGGCCTGTGGTAACAGCGCGTCCTGACCAAACAAGTTTTCCTTGAGAAGAGCATTGAAACCAGCCTCGACGACAACAGACAGAAGCTGCAGGTTGAGCATGACATTCGGCTCTTCCACGGACGGGTCCGTCAAAAACTCCTGCAGCAGCTGACCGAAAAGCGCTGCATTCTGGGGTTCTTGCTGGTCATTGGTCTTTGAAGCGTCGATGATTTGGGCGGTAATGGTAGAACGTGGAGGGTCGTTACGCACCGCGGCGCCCGCAGGTCCACGTCGGGTGGAGTCTCCGGCTTTGCGCGCCATTGTCGATGCCTTAAGTGGGACGGTCGGCCATGGTCGGAGGGATGGTCGGTGTGGAGATGCGCAGGATTGGAAAAGACGCTGTCAAGACGCGCAAGGAAAACACGCCATCACGTGGAGATAGCGATCCGGGTCGCTTATGTGAGGGTCCATGATCGACAACCGGCGCCGCCCGCATCTCCACCAGCTTTCTTCCCGTTCTGCCGTCCCGCCAACCGCACCCAACGGCGCTGACCTCACCTCCTAAACCACCCATGTCCTTCCAGTCGCAGAACAACTTCGCCACTAAGTACCGCATAGTGCTTTAGACGCATCTATTTCTGCTCTTTGGCCCTCATTTCACCGCGACTATAGATAGTAAACGGATGCTTCTCCCCAACACCTGCGGCGGCGGCGGCCCCCCTTCGCTACGAGACATGATTGCAAGATCCTGCCATTGAGCAACGAAGAGTGGTTGGACACTGGTATGGCTTAGAGGAAAGTGGACATGGGAGAGGAGCACTATATGGGCATGCGTACACTTATAAACGAAATGCACGTCTGCTCATCAATAGGAGATGGGAGATGGATGTTGAAAAGCAACGCGGGAATAATTTATAAGGCTCAGGGAAGTCCTCGGAGGTGCAGACGGCACTTCATATTGGATAGGATTTCGGCGCGCACCTGGCATCAATCAATTCGTTCAGAAGTATACGATTCCACGGCTACACGATTCCATCAAGCTTGTGGCAGTCAATCACACTCATCAATACCTATCAGATACAAGAATGTGGTCGCCGGAATAGGTCCGACTCGGATGCGGAAATGCATTGCGGCAGGGTCAATTGAGGATCCTTTTTGTTTCTATCATCTGCTTCCTCTGCGGTTCCCTGAGGACTCCACTTCAGGCCCTTTTAAAAGCACCAGAAATAGCAGCCGAAATGTATAGACGGCGTAGAGCTGAGGCGCGCATGACGCATAGCTGGCTCTACAGTCACATAGAGGTCCGTCTCGCGTACACGTAGGATGCTTGCGGGAAGTTTAGCGAGGATCTGCGAGATGGCGGCGAGGTGTGCGTGACGCGTCCCCGTTCAGGGAGCGGTTCGTTCGTATGGTGCGAAGTGCAAAATCGGTGGGCGGCGTGCCAGCGCAACAAAATGAAACGAAACGCTTGAGGTCGGCAGCGGCGGCGGACGGTGGTAATTAGGTCTTTTGACTGACGACATGTTGGCAGGCCGTGCATCCCGGCAGGGACCAGGCGGCAAAAGAGAGTGGAAGCTGCACCGCCTCCTCCTGGCAGCCGTTTGTGACCTTCCCGTTAGCTACCGTAGACTAGACTTTACACTACTATCCTTCTCTTCCAGGGCGCACAGCAGCCAGCCATCCTCAGCCATCCCCAATCACAACGGCCGGCCTAATCGACGACCCAGCTTCCCCTGTCCTGGCCCGTCCCCGCAACGCGCAAATCACCACAGATCAAATCAGGGTCCATCGCTCCGAGCAAAGCAGCAGTCGCCAGTCCACCCACACACACCTGCCGCCGTCACCTTAGTTGACCCCCCGCCCATCTCACACCACCCGCGCCGTCGCCGCCCGCCCCGACGCCCTACGAATAATAACTCTTGCTTCTGCCGCACGACCGCGTCCCGCGAAACGCCCTCCCGCACCTCCAACCGCGCCACACCCACACACAACCCGCGTCCACCATGCCCTCCAAAACCCCCACATTCGCTCCGCTTGAGTTCAAGCCCATCGACTTCTCCCTGACCGCCGGAACCGACATTCCCGCTCCGCCCGAGTCGCCGCCCGCCACCCCAGGTCGCCCGCCCACCGAAGGCCGCGGCCCTCTCTCCTCGCATCCCACGTCGCCCCAGGAAACGCCGCCGCTCAATGTCCCTGGCGGCTTCCCCACCTCCGCTACGCCCTCGCCGGCCCCCATCGTCTCGAATCCCATAGAAGAGACGTTGATGAAAAAGGTCCGCACCGACGGCGCCAACTCGACCGCGACCACCGTCACCGCCAACTCTACCACTACTAACGGTGACACAACAACCACAACCACCACACCTGCAGGGGCTACTGCAGCTGCGGCCCCAACTTCCGCCCCC